AAATTAGTTCAACCATTGTGGAAAGCAGTATGGAGGTTCCTCAGAATGCTCAAAATAGAAATACCATTTGACCCAGGAATTCCACTTCTAGGAATTTACCCTAAGAATGCAGCACTCCAGTTTGAAAAAGACAGATGCACCCCTATGTTTATCGCTGCACTATTTACAATAGCCAAGATATGGAAGCAACCTAAATGTCCATCAGTAGATGAATGGATAAAGAAGATGTGGTACATATACACAATGGAATATTACTCGGCCATAAGAAAAAAACAGATCCTACCATTCGCAACAACATGGATGGAGCTAGAGGGTATTATGCTCAGTGAAATAAGCCAGGCGGAGAAAGACAAGTACCAAATGATTTCATTCATATGTGAAGTATAAGAACAAAGGAAAACTGAAGGAACAAAACAGCAGCAGAATCACAGAACCCAAAAATGGACTAATAGTTACCAAAGGGAAAGGGACTGGGGACGACGGGTGGAAAGGGAGGGATAAGGGCGGGGAAAAAGAAAGAGGGCATTATGATTAGCATGTATAGTGTGTGGGGGGCAAGGGGAGGGCTGTGCAACAGAGAGAAGACAAGTAGTGATTTTACAGCATCTTACTACGCAGATGGACAGTGACTGTGAAGGGGTTTGTGGGGGGATTTGGTGAAGGGGGGAACCTAGTAAACATAATGTTCTTTCTGTAATTGTAGATCAATGATACCAAAAAAAAAACTTCATAATTTTTTTAAGGGCTTAAACAGTAAAACAAAAATTTAATCATATTTTGAAATAGTTATTATATTTTAAACTCCTAACTTTTCTCACATCTTTTTCTCTTCTACTCACTTCCCCACCCTGCTCACTTCCTTCCAAAAACAGTGGTTTTGGTAGGAGGCAGCAGCCACATCTTACTTAACTGCTGCAAAGTGACCAAAAAAGAAAAACTTTAAAATCTCTCACATTAAAATAAAAACAAATAAATAAATTCTCCAAATATAGTCCAATGCAGGAATTTCTTATCTCCCCTGGCATATGACAGAGTTGGGCATGTCACTGATGGAGTAACGTGTCTGCCACGGCACATATGATTGAACTGAATTAGAACTAAAGAAGATGTAAGAAGACCACTTGCTCTTTCTTTCATTTCACTGGATAATGTGTTTCAAATTTTAATTTGAAAAAATTAAAATATCCTATTTTATATCAAAGTTAAATATATTGTATTTGTATGATAAAATATGAATACATTTAATTAATGTTTCTTAAAACTGGAATACCCACAAAGACAAAATTTCAAATTTTCATTATATTTACCATGATGCCAAAAGGTTATGGATCAAACTGGGTATATGGTTGTTTTGTTGTTCACATTTCTGTCTTGAACAGAAAAAAGCAAGCATTCACCAGAACTATAAATTTGAAAAAACAAGCATTCACAGCTATAATATCAAAATAAAATATTGCAGGAGAGATAAAGGTGTACTATGAAGGGCTTATTCTACAATTAAACTCACATACTTACCTCTTGTTAAGAAAAGAAACAAAAAACTTAACAAGATAAATCAGTTCTGGCTTTAGCTTCTCTGTGGACTTATCTTTTCTCATTCCAGTTACAGAAGAATATTGGAATTGCCCAGTGTCCAGGTCTGTGGTCACATTTTAAAAGTCTGACAGAAATGTGCTGATGTAGCTTCTTTACTTTGAAATTTTCCTCTGTCTTCAGGTTCATTTCAAATTACTTCTCTTATCCCTCTAATCAGAATCACTTTTTTAACCTCTCTGATCCCATGTTTACACCTGACTTATAAATTATACTTATTCATTCATTTGTTTGACAATATATACTGAGTACCTAATATATGCTAGGCACTGTTCTAAGGCTAGGACTGCAAAGGTAAGTATGGCCAAAATGGAACTTAATATTAGTACTCATCATAGTCCAACTTGTACTTCACTTAGTTATCTAATGCCTATTCTTCCATAATCTGTGAGTTCCTTTAAATCAAGGCCCACACTTGAATAAAACTCTCACCTCTCTGATTAGCTTTTCTAATATATGAAATGGATATAGTAGTACCTGTCTAACAAAAATTAAAAAAAATAAAAAGTAGTTTTTGAACTGTAAAGGTCTAAAAAAACCCTTAGAAGATAATAATAATAATAATAATAATAGTAATAGTAAATGTTGTTTCCACTTCTACTGAACTGAATTACAGCTGGGCCAACTGTTTGCCTACATAAACAGTGAACAACTACTCAATGACCAAGGAAACTAATGCAAATGGTATGCAACAAAACTACAAAGTTCTTCATTAGCATAAATTAGATTTATTTTTTGCACTGGTATTTCACCAGCTGTAGGCTTACACTTATTTTGCCAGTTAGATTTAGATACATCTTCTTTGTAACCCAATCTGCCTTATCATTCAGGGTTCAAACAGAGAAACAGGACCACTAGGAGGTATTCATATACATATAAATTTGTTACAGGGATTTGACCTTTCTCAATTCTGGGAGCTGGTTGACCAATCTTTATATATGATGATGTAGTTTGAAATCCACAGGGAAGGCAGTTGAGAAGGGAAAATGGATATAAAGTGCAGGAGAGTAAGGACTCAAGAGCACAAACTATAATCCACAAGGATGGACTAATTTCAGTTCTCACTGCCTCCAACCTGGATGAAATGGGTGTCCTTTAAGAAATGCTGGTGCCCTTCATCATGTTGCTAAACACATCCACGACCCAGGGGTAAGAGAAGCCAAAAGAGGATACAAGGCAAGGTGGAGTAGGTAGAGTCTGGTGCCTGTTCCATGTCAACAAAGTAAACGAGTAACAAGCAACATGTTATAAGCTAAAAGCACCTGCCCCAAACTTCCTAAGTTAAAAAAAAAGGCTGCTGCTTAACTTCCACCCTTCAAATATCACACCAAATTCTCTCTCTGGCCACTCCACCTGGAAATATACAAAGAAGGAACTTCTGGGGGGCATAGTTCATCCTTGCCAAGCTGACATGTTACAAAGACACTACAGTCTACACCTTGTCAACCTGCACCCATACACATCTTTTAAAACATCCATGGAGACAATCACGAAGTCAAGCTTCTGTCTAACATGATGTAACTATCTCTTATACAACAAATAGGCTAAGCCTTTCCTTAAAAGAGGTTACTAAGTCTCTTGTTTTGTCTTTGGGTGATGTTCATTTTTCTTCAAACTGATTCATATTCCTCCTTGGTAGCCTGTAACTTAAATACTAAGATATAAACTTAACCATTATTAACATGTCTTATGTTAGATGGTAGGGGAACAAGGCAGTGGAAAAAAATAAAGAATACTTGGTTAATATATATATAACATATTAATATAAAAAGGGAAATGAATATATTTATATAATAACTACCATAATGCTCACTTCTGTACTTGGTCACTTGGTCATACCTTGTATTTGTAACTACCTCTTTCCACTACCATTCCATATTTCCTTTGCCCTCAGCAAATACTTAATACTCTTTGTAGTTCTCTATCTGGTAGGGTATCCCAAGCTTTCATTTCTGAAAAATCTGGGCTGTTATCAGTGCTGCTTAAATTGGGCTGTTAGTTTTACATTAGTTTTAATCATATGACATGGGAGTACTGCATTCTAGACGTATTGATTATTACCCACTTTATATGGCATCAACCCAATTTCCCCTTGATAGCCAAGCCCAATCTATTAATAGTTGCCTTTCTTTGCCTATTGATTTACAAAGTGGCAGGAAAGAGAGTCTCAACGTCCAGTTCAATAGAATCGCTGTGTTCCCAGATGGAAGCATTCTTCTCTTTAGAACTAAGACCTCTAGATCAGTAGAGACTAAAGTCACAGGGCAAAGGCAGTAAAAACTTTGCTAGTGGATCAGGAGGAGTAATTATATGTGGAGCTGCTCCCATTTCCTCGTTTCTGGACCCATGAATCCTAGTTATGGGAGAAACAGTACCATAAATCAAAAACTAATCTAGGACATTTACAGCCTCCTGGAGGGCATGCCCCAACCCTATAAGGCACTGCTACCTAGTTGGTGCTGTGAGTCTTCAAAAGGCCATTCCTTCATTCTTCTGTCAAGCCAGCTGCTTCATGATGATAGAAAAAGTAAGACCACTGAAATCATGAGCAGTCAGAAGTGATGCTATGTGGAATACTATGGTGGTGCAAAAGGCTTTCTTTAAGCTCATGAAGAGTGGTTTTAGCAGAAATACTAGTAGCAAGGAAGGCAAATCCATAGGCACAGCAAATGTCTATTCCACTGAGAACATGGCACTGCCTATTCCATAATAAAGAGGTCCAATGTAATTAACCAGGTTAGATGACTGGTCCTTTTGAGGAATGTTGCTATAGAGAAGTTTGTTATACCCAAATCCACTTAGTGAGTAGAAGGCCATGTTGCTGAGCCAATGTATAATCTCCACTCCTGGTACCATGCCCCTCTTGTTCACAGACTACTATATGGTTCTGTTTCTCTGATTGAACCCTGACTAATGAATTTGGTACAGAGATTCTTAAGAATAGGTTATCTGAATTGATTCTGGGTTCTCTGGAATTGGTTCTCTCATTTTGCTTTTATAATATAAGTTTATAATATAAGTCTATATTCAATTTACATTTGAAACATTAAAAGTATCTATATAAAATTGAATAAACTTTTTGATGTCAAACACAAACAAGGGTATTCAGTTTATACTTACTAAGGACTGAAGCAGCATATTAAGACAACTTTTCTGAATCTCAGGAGGTATATTTGCAAAGCTTCTCTCAGACCAAAACCTTGAAAAATGCTTTACAATCCACCTGTTAAAAATTTAAAAATCCCAAGTTAGAGAAATAAAAATATCTTTCATTGTAATATTCAATAATATTTGTGTTTTCAATGATATAAGCTGTATATGTTTTGACTAAGTTTTATAGTTAATTTTGTGAGTTCTATGATGGACTTGATTATGTTCCCTTCTCTGTAAACATACATTTAAAATCCACTCTGAATTATGTGCACAGATTAACATAAATAACAATGGTTCAGCTAAAATGAAATTGATCCCAAACAGCTTTAGTAATACATGAATCAATACTTCTCAACTGTTGCAATAAGTTAAACATTAAACTATGTAACATTGTTTCCAAGAAAACAGGCCAAGTCTAATATTTCCCAGAAAATTAGGAGAATGGAAGAACAAAATCCCTAAATTAATAGTATTCACAACACTTCAGATCACTTACTTCATGCAGTCAGCAAAAAGACTTTCCACTCCAACTGAATGAGCAATAATCAGACATTCTAGTACAGATGCCAACCTTCTGGGAATAGGCTAAAATTGATAGAAAACACTACATTTATCCTTTCTCAACTTACAAAGGCTAAAAGTATTTGGTTCATAAAGATCTGATTTATATACAAAATAAATATATGTAATTCAAGAGTCTCTTATTCTTTTAAAATCAAATATCATTAATAAACTTTAGTTTTATATAATAGCATTTGAGCTCTTTAACTGCCAGAATGCACAATTTGAATTCTAATTTCACCTAGCTTAAATTTTAAGTAAAAGTGTTATAATAATTTCTAGTACATCACACTGAAATACAACCATATGGTTTAATTTGCTTCCTAAAGTATAAATATAACTTTAAGTACATGGCAATGGGGGGTGGGTTGTCCTACACTAATCTCAGATAAAATAACAGAATTTAATTAGATCATAATTATATAACTTTTGAAAAGCACATATACATAAGTAATGAACTCAAACAACAAATAAATAAAATGTAGATGCAATTAGTGAAAATACCTCACTGCTCTTAATGCTAAGTTTCTGTGCAACATATTGCCTGTGCTGCTATTTTCCATTTTGGACTATGTTCTTATGCACATCTATTGCCTGTTAGGATAAATAGAGTTCAACTTCCCTCTGTACACATTCATTAGTTGTGATTTGGGGTTTTAGTAAAGACCAGCAATCAGCCAATTTGTATATATAGTCTAAATGTGTACTTCTAAAGATCCCTTGCTCTCAAGAGAAGAGCAAAGCTTCTCTACAGGTGCCTCCGGCATAGTCCTTATGGTCAGTGATTTACAACTTTTTAAATTATGAATTGCTATTAATTTGTTTTTCTAATATCCTTCTCCTAGAAATGTTATATCAGTGTTTAAGAAATTGAATGTAAAATTTTGCTTTGCATATTAACAATTTAGTTATTCCCTTTGAGATAATTGGAGGTATTCTAAGTTGTCCTAAAATCAGAAATGGATATCACTATATAGATTATACAGTGATAATTCTATCAAGTCAAAAAATTGGTTTCTTGACCCACTTCAGATGAGAGTATCAAAACTAGTGTAAGGGGAGACACTACCGGTATATGCTTACTTGATAACCTAAAAGCACCCAGAAGTCTGAAAAATTGTAAAAATACACACAAGAATTAAACAGTTCAGCAGTCTGATTTTATTTAGGAATAACGAGCTTTATACAACACAAAGTCCACTAACTGATGCATAATTTAGAAATAATTTCCAGTAAGAAATTATTAAAATATAAAATAACTTGCTACTTAAAGGAGAGACTGGTAAACCATAGCTTGTCAGCTAAATCTAGCCCACCATTGCTTTTGTAAATAAAGTTTTATTGGGACACTACTATGCTCTTCCATTTATATATTGTCTATATGTTGCTTTTACTCTACAACAGCTGAGTTGAATAGTTATGATACAGACCATATGGACTACAAAGCCTAGAATATTTATTACCTGGCCTTTTACAACAGAAGTTTACTGGCCTCTTGGCTTAAAGGATTGACTCTCAGAATTTTACAGATATGGAAATGCTGATTCCTAAGTGTTTTTGTAATAGATGACTGACCTTTTGTCATTTTCAAAACCTGCTTGTAGAATTTGGGAAGACATATACTTAAATCATTGCCAAAAATATATTTTTTAATTGATAGTAAAAAACATATAATGTTCATTATAAATCCTATAAATGAAGTCCAAAAATTTTAACCATGTACAAGGCAAGATTGTGAAGTTGATGAAATGACTGAAGCTTGCTTACCAGGAGTCCAATTACCTACCACAGTATACCCAAATCTGTGTTACTGTGGAATCTATTATTATAGGTCTACTATATTTAAGTCACTGCCAAGAAACTGCACAGTCGAGATCTAGAAATTAGATCCATTTTCCATTGTTTTAATGGTAACCCATTAATTATGGTAGTGGATTATTAAAAGTAAAATAAAAGAAGCTTCATATAAACTATAAGTAATCAACAACATACTAAAAGAGGCAATGATCCAAAGACTATCCCTAAAATTATTTTAAAAATATTAGAGGCAATTGGTTTATTGGGGTATCTTGGTTCAGAGGAGATACTAACCAACTTTTTTTCCCAACTAGAGCTGTCAGCCAGGCTGTGTCAAATTCTCCTTTTTCCTATCCCCTAATTATATTATAGGCACATTCCAGTACTTTTTGGTTACTTTTGGTATTGAAATTTAGTATGTCCTGTTTAAACACCTTTCTCACATCTGACTTAAATCTTTTCTTCCCCAGTCACTGACTACATTTATAGTTGGGGAGATCTGGAATAGGGAGTAGAGCACGGTCTTGTCTCCAGCTCCTCCATTTTTTGGGTCTAACTCCTGCGGCAGAGGGCTTTGGATGGCTATGGTCATTTTATGTAACTAACCAGAGAGAGCATGGTAGTAGGCAGAAGTCCTTCACTTTGCACTAATTCAGATTTTGGTGACCTTTGCTGATGTGGTGGTTCTTTAGGTGAAGAATGAACTTCACCCTAGCTTCTTGGGGGATAAATATTCTTTTTGTTGTTCATGATGCACAATGCCTCCCTATGTGGAATACTCCTAGGAGGGAAATTTATAGCAATATAGGACTACTTCAAGAAGCAAGAAACATTTCAAATAAGCAATCTAGCCTGACACCAAAAGGAACTAGAAAAAGAACAAAGAAAGCCCAAAGTTAGTAGAAAAAAGGAAATAAAAATCAGAGTGGAAATAAATGAAATAGAGACTAAAAAAAAAATACAAATGATCAATGAAACTAAGAGCTGGTTCTTGGAAAAATAAACAAAATTGATAAACTTTTAACTAGACTCAAAAAAAAAGGAAGACAGGACTCAAAATAAATAAAATTAGAAATTAAAGAGAAAACTGACACCACAGAAATACAAATGATTATGAGAGCATTTAGAGAGTATTATGAGAAATGTTATGCTAACAAATAGGACAATTTAGAAAAAATGGATAAATTCCTAAAAACATACAATCTTCCAAAACTGAACCAGGAAGAAACAGAAATTTTAAAATACCAATTACCAGTAATGAAATTGAATGGGTAATAACTGAATTCTACCAAATATTTAAAGAGAGTTGGTAACTTATGTCCTTTCAATTAACCCCATACCTAGATTTTATTTTACTTAAAAATGATCTGAATTAATTTGTCTTTTGCAAGCACACTATGTGAGTTATTTCTCAACTGGAGTTACTTTTACTTAAACTGACTTAATATTTTTAAGATTTAAAGCACTATTTACCATCAGAGATAAAAATCTAGTAGGTAATAATGGGTGGCTTTAAGCACTGGGTAAAAGAATTCTGTGACTCAATAATTACCTTCTGAAAGAAATTACAGTAATCTCTTCTTAAAACATAGATTGCTACTTCTTTTAATCCTTCTAGTCCATACATATCGGCCATATTGAGTATCTGACTAAAATAAAAATAGATATACTGTTAATTCTTCAATTTAAAAACCAAGGCATAATACATAGTAATTTCCTGATAATACATAGACTGTTTAGAAAGAATAATCTGAATTATCTTCATTCTAACTTTCTGCCTTTTATGGATTATAAAAAGGACATAGGTTGAAAAAGTTGAAAGCATTGTCACATGATTTGATTAGTGGAGAAAAACAAATAAATCTGGAGATGTTTCAATCAAATTCCTCTTATATTTTCAGTGACATATACAGCAAAGTCCAGGAAACTGCTTCAAAGGCTGTAAAAATTTTACAACTCTTTTGTAACAAATTTGTATAATAAAAATTCAGAAGGGGACAAATTAACTGATGCTTATCATATTGAAAATGCCAACAAATGAACCTAAAATTAGAGACAGCATCCAAAGACAGAGGGTTTCTGTTGCCTCTTCCATTTGGCAAGTGTTTCTGAGCACCCACACATACTTTAGGTACTCAAGAAACTAAACTTTGAGAGCATGACAAAATTTCATATATTTTATAGGGGGGAAATCTTCAATAGTTAATCCCTGAGACTAATGATACTTTTCAAAATCCAAAATTATGATTTCTTCAAGTTTATTTATTCAGTTTGTAATTCAAGGAACCAATGATTTTTAAAACTAAGAGACCATCTTTCATTTGTGTGATGCTGGAATAGCAATAAAGGAAGATGGCAATGTAGATTCCACTTTCCACTAGGATTTCAGCAGCTTACATGGCATTTCACTGTAGAGCACTTAAGAGTCACATCATTGTTGGTCTTTAGGATGTCTATGTTTTTAAATTAATTTTAAGGTTTTTCATTTTCCTTTTCTTTTGTTGTTTAAAAGAGACATACTAAAATTAAAATATGAGTAGTAAAATATTTGTTCCAAATTTGATAAAGGTTCAACTTTTTAATTAAAGCCTATTATTTATTTTCCAAAACAAACATAAGGTTTTTATGATATAATTTAAGTCTAATAAAGACTTTTCTTAATCTTATCACTGTGAATCGCTAGATCATATTTTCTTCTAAATACATTAACATTTAGATATTCCCAAAATACACACAAGATATGGCCAATAGACAATGAAAATGAAGCTTTTACTTCATTGATACTTTGAAACACAGTTCAACAAAAAAGCCACAAAATATTAATACTTTGTATTTAATATTATTAAAAAGCAATACATACCCAACGTTTGCTTTGTCTGGAAAGTCCAAAGTTCCTCCGTATATAAAATGCATCATAATATCCATTTCTACATGGTTAATACTGAAAAATAAAAGTAAATTCAAATCCAGAAAGAATTAGGATTTAACTGATATCAATGATACATTCCATTTTTCCATAAACTTTTAGCCAAGATAAGTCTTAGTCTTACTTTTATCTGAAGAATATATTTTTCAGATAACACCCATGCAGGTATGCTATTAATTTAAAATGAGGTATAACTGCAACTATGGATTTTCATGTAAGTTTTTAAATGTTATTACCAAATCACTGATTACGTGCTGAGCATCTTCTGTAATAGACTTTTAGAATCAGAAAGGACCTTAGAGGTCATAGTCCAACCTCAGGCTCATTAAGAAATTCTCTCCTTACATCTTTGACAAATGGCCTCTGGTCTTGCTTGAGTCCTGAGATGGACAACAACATTCACTAGAAAGATTCCTATTATGCTGTACATATTCCTTACTTTGTAATGCCTGTCTGACAGCTCTAGTTTGGCCAGCATCTTCATTATACTGATAGTAAAGATAGGGCCTAAGTGGTCTGGAGTGATACCTTACGCCCCATACCACTGGATTTCAAACTCTGAATTTATGGCCTCCTTCCTCCTCCCTGCCACTCCCAATACCCCAAATCCAGCCTTCTTTCTGTTATTTCTGTTTTGTTCATAGCACTGTTACTGGACTTCTTGCATCTTGTGCTACCCTCTATCGCTGTACCAAGGGGAGTGAAATATCTGGTTCATTGACAACCACCACTGGTCATTGGTCAGGAGGAACTTGAAATGAGAGCGAATTTCTTTTCTCATTTTTTCTCTGCTTAACAAGGGGGGAAGAGGTGATGGGGAAGAAGTACATCTGCTATCAAAATTCAGACTTTCTCTCAGGTGGGGCTGGACTTAGGGGACATGGTCAGCTTTGGCTCTCTCATTAAAGCACATTTTACTGCTTCAGTAGCTTTTATCAGTAATAAAGGAAATATTTTATTTCATCTGCTGATTCTTTTGTCTTATTCTGAACGGGAAAAAAAGCACATTATTTATTGGGTCCTCCTCAAACTCTAATAGCTCCTAAAGTATCTAAATAATAAGCTAGAGACTGAGGTTCATCCTGACCCTCTCTCTCATATCCCATCATTTATGCCTTTAAAGATGTCTTGAATTCAGCATCTGCTGTCTACTTCCCCTCACTGCTCTGATTTAGCCTTTCATTTTCTCTCATCTGTACTATGACTGTATCCTGTCATACAGGTTTCCTGTCTAAAATAATCTCCTTGCATCCTGTTACCCACACTGTATTAGAGTGGCTTTGCCAAAATGTAAATCTGATATAGTTCTCCACTTTGAAAACCCTTCAACAATTCTCCAGAGATCATAGAGAAAAAAAGTCCAAATTCCTTACCTTGGTGTATAATGTTCTTATAACATCTGACCCCTGGTTCTCCCTTTCTGGTAGCTGTTCCAAGAAAAGTAAACTACTCATTTCCTAAACCTGAACTACTTATTATTCCTTAGCATATACTGTTCACTCTGTTTAAAATGCTCTCCCCATCTCTACTTATATCATCTTTCACATGTAAGACATTTGGCTCTTTTTCTCTGATTGCTCCTTCATGCCCCAAGGCAACAAATAAAAAATCTGAATATTAAATATATTAATGACTAACATCTGTTGAGCACTTACTATGAGCTAGTCACTAACCTAATAAGCATTTTGAAAACCATTAGCTCATTTAATCATAACTCAATAGTAGATACTATTATTAGTCTCATTTTATAGGTGAGAAAACTGAAATTAAGTAACTTGCCCAAGGTCAAATGGTTAGTGATATACGGGAATTTAAATCCAGGCAGACTGACTCCAAAGCTTGAGCTCTTAAGCAGTATGTTATATATACTTCCATTGTCACATTTATAAAACTGACTTGTAATATATTTGTTTACATATTTGTTTCCCCTATTGACCGAGTTCTATGAGGGCAGGGCTTGTATCTAATTTATCAGTGCATCTCTAGGAGCAGCAGAAGGTCAGCATTGATTCAACAGCCCCAAGATAAGAAGAACCTTCTTCCCCCACAAAATACTGGGGCTCTGCAATGGAATCAGGATGGTGACTATGCTACAAGACTCCCACAGTTTGTTAATCATAGTATCTAATATCTGCTAAAGGAACAAAAGGCGGAAGGAAAAAAGAATAAGTGTAGTCTCACAGGGTAGGACCCAGAAAGGTTTTTGCTTTGATACTATGGCCATAAATAAATAAAGTATTTTCAATAAATGTTTTGATGAAAATTTGATGAATGGTTTACTATGGACTTACCAAATCTTCCCAAACTTTACTGGCCCCTACTATGGATAAGTACTGGTTTCTGCTGATTCAAAACTCTACATCTTTAATACTTAGAAAAAAAGTCAAATCTCTAAATATTCTCATTTATATACTATATACTATATATATATATACCATATACTACATATGGATATGACAGGATTTGATTTCAGAATAATTATGCCATGTTATCTGAAGTCTGATAATCTATAACACTGTATATAATTACTAGAATATATACTATTCCACGCACTTTTCCTCAAAATTTCAACAGCTGTTCTTATCAGTGTTAATGAGAATTGGCCATTTATATTGAAAGAACATTTTAAGGCTTGACATATTTAAGTAAATATAATAATGACTAAATAAAAACAAGAGAACATTTATGAAAATAAATAGCAAAATTTAGACATTGGAGCTTATATATCAATATATATATGAGAGCTATAAAAACAGCAAGAAACCATTTTCCTGCTGTCTTGGCAGATGTTTCACTAAACTGCATTCTCATTATTGTGTTGTTAAGTTATTTGTATTTTTACTAAGTGTTTATAAAGACATGGTCAACTGACCTAGAAAAACAACAAATTACTTCAAAGCCCACAGTGTAAACAGAAAGATTTAAAGTACTACTCCCAGTTAAATGTATTCAGAATAAAAGCTTTTAGGAAATGAAAACATTACATATACTCATATTTAGGAAAAAAACCTGAGCTCTAAGATCACAGACTGAACATGTACCTAATCTATTAAAATCTCTGTGCTTTATTGAGTGTTTTCTAAAGTTTCAGGTTCCTGTGTATGTGAGCTAAGGTAATAGACTCATTCATTAATTCATTCACATTCAGTATTTACTGAATGACAAGCTCTATTCTAGACCCCGAGGACACAAGCTTACATTCTATAGAAAGGACATAATTAATAAATATATAGATGATCATTTTAATAATGAAAAGTGCCATAAAGACAACAGAATAGTTTAACATAAAAGAGAGTAACTACAGAGTTGGATTGTAGCTAGTCTAGTTGGGGTAGTCTGGGAAAAGCCCAGGACCCAGATCATACTGGGTATTCAAAGTTATGGTAAAGATTTGGGTTTAATTCTAACTGTGATGAGAAGGCACTGAAGGATTTTAGTCATAAGAAAACTATGCTCTGACTTACAATTCAGAAGATCATCCTGAAGGTTCAGAGCAATCCCAGCAATCTCCCAAAGGAGATGAGAAAATCCAAATTTATGCTCCAAATCCCCAAGCCACCAATGCAAACCTTTTAGTTATATAAAATGAAAGCATGTGGGGTTTCTTTACAGAAATACTGGCTGTGTGTAAACAACTTATCTGATAAGGGGTTAACATCCAAAATGTATAAAGAGCTCATATGTCTCAAGACCCAAAAAACAAATAACCCTATTAAAAAATGGGTAGAGGATCTGAACAGACACTGCTCCAATAAAGAAACAAAGATGGCCAACAGGCATATGAAAAGATGCTCCACATCGCTAATTATCAGGGAAATGCAAATTAAAACCACAATGAGATACCACCTCACACCAGTTAGGATGGCCAACATCCAAAAGATAAGAAACAACAAATGCTGGTGAGGATGAGGAGAAAGGCAAACCCTCCTACACTGCTGGTGGGAATGTAAATCAGTTCAACCATTGTGGAAAGCAATATGGAGGTTCCTCAAAAAACTCAAAATAGAAATACCATTTGACCCTGGAATTCCACTCCTAGGAATTTAGCTGAAGAAACCAAGATCCCTGATTCAAAAAGACATGTGCACCCCTATGTTTATTGCAGCACTATTTAAATAGCCAAGATATAGATGCAACTTAAGTGTCCATCAGTAGATGAATGGATAGAGAAGATGCTGGAATATTTTTCAGATGTAAAAAAGAAAACAAATACTACCATTTGCAACAACATGGATGGAGCTGGAGGATATTATGCTCAGTGAAATAAGCCAGAAAAAGAAAGACAAGTACCAAGTGATTTCACTCATTTGTGGAGTACAAAAAAGCAAAACTGAAAAACCAAAACAGCAGCAGACTCAGACTTCAAGAAGGGACTAGTGGTTACCAAAGAGAAGGGGCTGGGGAGGGAGGGAGAAGGGGATTAAGGGGCACTATAATTAGCACTCACAATATAGGTAGGTCACAGGGAAGGCAGTATAGCAAGGAGAAGACAAGTAGTGGCTTTATAGCATCTTATTGTGCTGATGGAAAGTGATTGTGATCGTGGGGGGGGGGGACTTGATAATATGAATGAATGTTGAAACCACAATGTTGTTCATGTGAAATCTTCATAAATTTATGTATCATTGATACCTTAATTTAAAAAAAAAGAAGAAGAAATACTGGCTGTGTTTAATTTCCAGTGTAGAATGTGGAAAAATTTCCCCTTCCTCCACCAGAACAAGAAAACTTCCTTCCACCTATATCCTTCTACCTCCCAACTCTGGGGCATGGTAGAACTAGGATCACTAGACTCTACTTTTCCTATCTCAATTTATTGAAGGCTGTTTTTGTTAAAAAATATTATATGCATTATGTCTTTGAGTTATCAGCTCTTTAAAACACTGTTTCTTTTCTGTAAGGGCAGATAGGATTTCATTTTAATTTACTGCAGAAAACCTCCATGCAACAGTGGCCCAGTTCCAAATGAGATTGCCAATTAGACAAAGCAATCATTGCTGTCCTGGTATTGGTAA